TGTGAGTCATAGGAGTACATTTCCATAGGGCCTGGGCACACTTTGGTGGACACTGAACTCATGCTTCTCATTTTTTCATAAAGTGACCTCCTGTTCTGCTAGGTCTTGTCCGAAATCCAGGAGAACTTCCAGCGCAACATCCCAGAGATGGCGCCCCATGGAGGGTCTTCAGAGCCGCTGTGCAGACGAGTCAAGTGCTCGCCCTCTTAGGTGCGCTCGATCGCTAGCACCGTGCTGGAGTGCACAGGCAGCATGGCCTGACGCGTTCAGAGCGCAGGAAGGAAGCAATCATTTGGCGGGGAGGCTGCAGTTGTATATTTGTATTATGTTTCCAAATGAACGAACGCTTTTGCTCGAGAAAAGAAAACGAATGCAGTGGCCCCCACGGCATCGTCTGCACGTTTTCCTCCAGGTCGCCGGGGTCACAAACGCCTGGCTGGAACTCCTGGCTTCAGAGGCGTCCGAACGAAGCTGGAGATTGAGGACTGGCAAACGCATCCGCCTGTTGGCCGCTTAAGCCCAGAACTCGCGCAGAATAGATGCAGCTATATCAGCTGCCAAGGCATGTGAGGGCTACCTAGCACATGTCGGGTCATGTTTGGCCGCGAAAGTTCTCTTCAGACGCTTTTTGTCTGTGAGGGCGATCGAGCTTGCAAAGAGTAGTGCAGTGTTGGCAGTTGAATGACTAAAAATGCTGGCGGCCAACACCCCTGTTCAAATCATGCCTGGTAGAGTCTCAGACCCACTCACAGAGTCTCAAGCAAAGTGCTGCAGGTCAGCAGATTTTCCAGCTGAGCTTCTGCCCACGCGCCCACGCAATTGAGCTACCAGAGCGGATGATGCGATTCCTGGCAAAATAGTCTCAGGGATTTTCCAGCCCAGCTGCCGCCCACACAACTGACCACGAATACAGATTCAGATGGTGCCGGTGATGCCTGGCAGAGTCTCAGCCAAAGTGCAGTGACCTGAACATGTTCCAGCCAAGCTGCTGCCCACAACTGAAAGATGATGCAGGTGATGCCTGGCAGAGTCCCAGAAAATGCGCTGCAGGTCAGTGACCAGGATATTTTCCAGCCAAGCTGCCAAAGATGATGCAGGTGATGCCTGGCAGAGTCCCACGACAATTCGCTGAGTCCCAAACACTGCGCTGCAGGTTAGTGACCTACAGATTTTTCCAGCCAAGCTGCCGCCCACGCAATGCTGTCCCAAACAATGCACTGCAGGTCAGTGACCAGATTTTCCAGCCAAGCTGCCACACAACTGAAAGATGATGTGGGTTGCCTGGCAGATTCCCAAACAATGAGCTGCAGGCCAGTTACTTGCACATTTTCCAGCCCAGCTGTTACCCACGCAACTCAAAGACAGATTTCCCAGCCAAGCTGCCGCCCACGCAACTCTCAGAAGATGCAGATGATGCCTGGCAGAACCCCAAACAATCTGCAGATCAGTGACCTGCTGACAGAGTCCCAATGCGCCGCAGGTCATTGACCTGCACATAGCTGCCTGCCCACGCAACTCAAAGATGATGCAGGTGATGCCTGGCAGAGTCCCAAACAATGCGCTGCAGGTCATTGACCTGCAGATTTCCCGGCCAAGCTGCCGCCTACGCAACTCAAAGATGATGCAGGTGATGCCTGGCAGAGTCCCAAACAATGCGCTGCAGGTCATTGACCTGGAGATTTCCCAGCCATGCCGCCACGCAACTCAAAGATGATGCAGGTGATGCCTGGCAGAGTCCCAAACAATGCGCTGCAGGTCATTGACCTGCAGATTTCCCAGCCATGCCGCCACGCAACTCAAAGATGATGCAGGTGATGCCTGGCAGAGTCCCAAACAATGCGCTGCAGGTCATTGACCTGCAGATTTCCCAGCCAAGCTGCCACCCACGCAACTCAAAGATGATGCAGGTGATGCCTGGCAGAGTCCCAAACAATTCGCTGCAGGTCATTGTTATTGAGCTGCAGATTTCCTTGCCAAGCTGCCGCCTACGCAACTCAAAGATGATGCAGGTGATGCCTGGCAGAGTCCCAAACAATGCGCTGCAGGTCATTGACCTGCAGATTTCCCAGCCATGCCGCCACGCAACTCAAAGATGATGCAGGTGATGCCTGGCAGAGATCCAAACAATGACGCTGCAGGTCATTGACCTGCAGATTTCCCAGCCAAGCTGCCGCCAACGCAACTCAAAGATGATGCAGGTGATGCCTGGCAGAGTCCCAAACAATGCCGCTGCAGGTCATTGACCTGCAGAAATCCCAGCCAAGCTGCCGCCCACGCAACTCAAAGATGATGCAGGTGATGCCTGGACTCAAAGATGATGCAGGTGATGCCTGGCAGAGTCCCAAACAATGCGCTGCAGGTCATTGACCTGCAGATTTCCCAGCCAAGCTGCCACCCACGCAACTCAAAGATGATGCAGGTGATGCCTGGCACAGTTCCAAACCATGCGCTGCAGGTCATTGACCTGCAGATTTTCCAGCCAAGGTGCCAAAGATGATGCAGGTGATGCCTGGCAGAGTCCCAAACAATGCGCTGCAGGTGATTGACCTGCAGATTTTTTCGCCAAGCTGCCGCCCAAAGCAGGTGATGCCTGGCCCGCCCACGCAACTCAAAGATGATGCAGGTGATGCCTGGCAGAGTTCCAAACATGCAGGTGATGCTTGGCAGAGTCCCAAATAATGCGCTGCAGGTCATTGACCTGCAGATTTCCCAGCCAAGCTGCCTCCCACGCCTGGCAGAGTCCCAAGCAATTCGCTGCAGGTCATTGACCTGCAGATGCCCACGCAACTCAAAGATGATGCAGGTGATGCCTGGCAGAGTCCCAAACAATGCGCTGGAGGTCATTGACCTGCAGATTTCGCAGCCAAGCTGCCGCCCACGCAAATGAACTCAGCTGCTAAATGCGCCAGGACTCTTGTGAGCCCCCTGCACCAGATGATTTGCCCTTGGTGGCCACAGAACGCGAGGACTGCTCCGAAATAGCTTGCCCCCTGTTTCAAGCGGTTTACCTATATGGCCTATATACCCCAAAGCCACAACGCCCCTTTGAGGGAAGCTTTCATTGAGTGAGGCCCCATTGGCACCTTTGGCGCGGCTATGTTGGGGGGTTGCTGGGCTTTGCCTTCAGGGATGTGTTTTTTGGGTGCAAGGGATGGCTCTTAATTAGACTGTTTGCATTGCTTCGCTATTCAGGACCACCCAGACAAGGCGGCTGAGGAGCTCATGAAGTCGCTCTGAAGCAAGCATTCGGCGATGTGCCCACAGCCTCTTTGCGGCTTGAGTCCAAAACGGCTTTCAATTTCGACCAAACCCCTGATCTCTTCAGTGTTTTGACCAAGGTTCTATGGTCAGGCTGGCACTGAGGAGATTCCAAGCCCGCGGCTTTGAGCGCGCAATGGATTTCACTACACGCAGCTTCCACGGGGCTTTTTCTCATGGCTTCTTTTGCCATTGCGATTGCATTGCCATCGGTGCCCCATGGGATTTTGCGAGACTTGGGCCGAGGCTCCGCCGAGGCTTCCAGGAGCGATGCGCCGGAGAACAGCCGGTCGAAGGCTGTCGCCCAAGGGCTGCTTGTGTGATAAAGATTGAGGGGGTCCCAAAATTAGACTGCCAGTTTCCTCTCATTGCCACTCACAAACAAGAAGGGACACAGCCGAGTCGGAATTGACCCTCACTTGGGGAAGCACCCCTTATTGACCCTAGAATGCGGGGTCACCTGCCGTCCAGGCCTCGCGGATCACCTATGGCGTCGCGGACGCGCTCAAGCGAGTCCGGGGCCAAGCGGACGGAGACAAGACGCCGCCTCGAGCGACGTTGTTGGCAAACGAGGAACCCGAAAAACCCCTGTTGTTCCAGGGTGTCAAGTGGGGGGCCTGTAAATTTCCAGCCGCGTCATTGTTTGGGGCGACGATGTTTTGTTCAAACGGAGTCCTTAGGGCAGGTCCTTTATCAATTTAGAGACCCCGTCTTCACCCTCCCATCCTTGTGGATGGCCGAGGCGGTGCGCCGGTGAGGTCCTGGGCAACTCAGTGAGTTAGGGACTCGCAGCTTGTCTCTGGCCGCAGTACGCGCTGGTTTCAATGCACGGGAAGAATACGACCGTCCAGGAAAAGCTTTCCCAGGCCCAGGGATCCTTCTTTCTAACACAACAGAAACGACGGGATTTTTGCGAGAACGATGGTTGAATGGGGAAGCACTCCCTAGAGATGTGCATGCGAGCTCCTGTCAATTCATGGCTGTTCGTTGCGAGGCCTCCTTCCCGATTGTTTCATTTGCACCATTTTGAGACCCGCCACATGGGGCTTGACATTTTGACATAGGATCAACATGGGCCCGTTGATCCAGATTCACAATGTCGGAGAAGGGTATTTTAAATACAGGGATGGATGTCCTTTGCCCTTACCACGGATTGCGACGGGAGCTCATGTAGGTGACAATCTCCAGGTCAGAAGACCTGGTTGTTTGGGGCTGATACAGATCGTTGAGATCCTCTGCATTACAAGGATCTCCGCAAAGATTCATGACTATCACCTGCACTTGTTCTGACAGTGGCACATGCGACGATTCATGCTGCAACACCTCTTCGGGCTCTCACCAAGCGGGGCGTTGGGTCTATGCAGCTGCTTGGGAGCAAAGGGGCAAAAAGTGAAAAGGCCAACGACTTTGCAGACGTGCTTGACTGGCATGTATCAACTGTCTGTGTGGTGAAACTAGGCAACCTATTTGGGGCGGTTTTGAAGGACAAGGGAACCAGCCAATGGCAGGAAAGTTTGGCTTTTACAGACAGCCGACAATTGCCTGTTGCCAAATGCAGCTCAAATGATTTAGCGCTTCTTACAAGGCTCAAGGATGCAACTTACAAGGACAGCACAGAGAGGCGGCATTCAGCGGAGGAACCCACAAGTAGCTTGCCAAGTTGCAAGCAGCTAGGCACTCTAGCAACCCCAACGAGCATCATGAGCTCATTTCGTACACGTGCACGCATATATTTTTCCGCCGCACTGCCAGTGATGGTAGAGCGGGTGAAGGCATAATGGAAGGCTTGTGCAAGTGAGGTGCTGACATGGATCAGCCTTGTTCCTAGACACTGCATTAGCATGCCACAAGCGATCATCATCCACTTTGACCAGTGATACTAGAAGTTCGCAGTGCAACTCCATTGCGACGTTGAGATCTCGTTGAAGCTCGAACGATTCGAGGCTTAAGAAGTTCAACACATGGCTGAAGGAGCACTCGAAGCAGGTGCCACGGATTGGATCATGCTTGGACTTTCGGATCCTCGCTTCCGTGGCTGCAGGAACCTGTTCGTTCTGACCCAAAGGGTAAAGAGGAGGACCCTTTCCTCTTGGAGGAGGCCTGTCAGCTTCTTCCCTCTGGGCAAGCGGCCCGGTTTGTGAGAGGACCAGGATGAGGAGATCGGCGGGTTGTTGCAGCAATATGGCGTTCTCCTGGAATACGAGAGAATGCAGGACAGTTGAGATGCCTTTTGAGTTGAGCTGCCCCCAAGGAGTGAAGGTGAATTTGATTGCATGTTGCAGTGCCTGGCTCAAGGAAATAGATCGGACATTGTTTTTCACGGTAGCTGTTCGGACGGTAGTAGACTGGGCTGCAAATGGTCGAACACGGCAATCAAGCGAGTTGCAGACTTAGATTAGTGTGCTGACTTGTCATGGGAGAGAAACCAGACCTATCCTAGGCGGCCGCTCAGTGCGGAGGTTGACAGGACAGCTTCCTGGCACGCGCGGGCGCACGCGGGTGTGTGTGTGTGTGTGGGTGTGTGGGTGGGTGTGTGTGTGTGTGTGTGTGTGCGCGTGTGCGTGTGCGTGTGTGCGTGTGTGCGTGTGTGCGTGTGCGCGTGTGTGCGTGTGCGCGCGTGTGTGTGCCTCTGTGTGTGTGTGTGTGGGTGTGGGTGTGGGTGCGGGTGTGGGTGTGGGTGTGGGTGTGCGTGTGCGTGCGTGCGTGGGTGGGTGGGTGGGTGGGTGGGTGGGTGGGTGGGTGGATTGGTGGGTGCACGATTTTTACACGACTTTTGTTTGTTACTGTCACGAGTTTTGCTTTGCTTTACGATGTGAGGGCAGATGTGGTATCCTTTAGAGTTGCATGAAGCAAGTGCAATGCATGCCGCAGTCTGTGGCTTAGGGCAGTCGTTGGGAATTGAGATGTGGGGGCCAGTCCAGTAGACAGGAGGTTCTGCAGTCAGTGTTTGATACAGAGCCAAGCTGAACATGGTGCTTGAGCATTTGCAGATAGCTTTGCGGCAGGCAATGGCACAGGTAACAGATGTTCCGCGGCGTCCCAGCAGCTCCTTGAAAGCATTCAACAGCGTTTCACGTGGTGCGAGCCTGGACACCACTGCTGCGGGCAGTGAACAGAGTTCAGCTTCGAAAGCTTCGAGCTGCGCTGGAATTGCTTCGCCCATTTTGGACACATCGTCGACTTTAGTTTTTGTTGACTGGGACGACACTTTGTTCCCGTCCACGGAGCTTTTTGATCGCTGGGGCCTCCGCCAGAGATCTCCGGATTGCGAGCAGCAGGCTTTGCTTCATCGATGGCGGGAGGCGCTCCAGAGGTTTCTCAAGACAATTATCGAGTTCTCGGGTCACTGCGTCATCGTCACGAATGCGCAAACTTTCTGGGTGGAGCAATGCTTGCAACGCTTCGCTCCCGAGTTGCTGCATCTGTTACACGGGGGAGGTCTCACAATTGCCTATGCAAAGGAAGCTCTGCAGTCTCTTAGGCAGCGTAAGAGAGTGTGGCAGCACGACGAGACGACTATCCCAGCTCGGTATGTAGATGTGTATTTTGACGATGAGGACATGCAGCAATCCAAGCACGTGGCTATGACGGCTGCAAAGTATCATGCCATGCGGAAGGAGTTCAAGCGCTTTTTCGGCGGTCGGGAAGCTCGGAGGAACATCATCAACTTTGGAGACATGGAGTACGAGCATTCTGCGGTTCAAGAGCTCGGAATCCGGGCCTGTGGACTGCACGAACCTCAAGTCAAATCGCTTCTTCTGCCAGAAGTGCGGGCCTCGGACGAAGTTCTGAATTCTTAGACTTGTTGCATCCCATCTTTTGCAAACAGCTCATTGATTTGAATACGCAGCTCTTCAGCTCCGTTCTGAGGTGCCGAAGGTCAGCGAGCTGACACTCCGATTAGACCTGCTGCGCATGCTCCTGCGCGGTCCCCAGCTGAAATGTTCGCATCCCGAATCTCCCCGGCCAAATGAAGGCCCACGATCGTGTGCCTGAACGGAGACCTCAACCTCAACTTGAAGGACCTTTCATGGTTAGCGTTTGCTTTGGTTTTTAAGCTGCCTTCTGGAAACATGATATAGACCATTTTGGTGCGATGGAGGACTGCCCCGAAGGCGGCACTCCCATGCAGCTTCTTGCACAGGCACGCTTGTTGTTTTCTGATCAGTCTGGGTGTCCGTGATCGAGAGGGATCTTCCTTTGTCCTCTGAACTCCAATGTTCTTCAGACAGTCACACACACACACACCAGCTCTTTTCGTTGTTTTGAACGGCAGGCTTTGCGTATGCCAGACCTGGGGCAAATACATCTACCGCATGCGTTTGGCTGCGGTCATCCACCATCCGACGAGGAGGCATCTGCTGCGGGAAAGGGACTTATTGCTGTCCCCATGTCAAGGATAGGTTGAGACAAAAGCTGAAGTTTGCTAGTAAAGGCTCAAATTGGCAGGTGGCGGACAGCCTCCAGGAAGTGGCCGCAGCTCTGGCGTTTCGCCAGTGATGGCTTGGGCCACAGTTCAGGCGGCCGGATGCATCCCTGCTTTGCATCCAGTCAATGCCAGAGATGCAGACATCATGCAAGCACACGCGCACAAAGCACGCGTTTTTCACTTTCGCTTCCATACTCACATTCACTTTCTCAATTTACATCCACTGCACAATCACAGTCATGTTCGCATGTACTTTCACTTTCGTATTCACTTTTGTATTCGCTTGAATATTCACACACACAGGCCTGCAAGTTTCAACGGCGAGCTCATCAGACCCTGCACTAGTGACTTAAATTCACACTATGTGTACACGCAATGTGTATACAAATATTAATATATTATGTTACAAAGTGTAGATATTATGCAGATATGTTTGAGCAGGCCGACTGACACCTCGCAGGAATCCAAGTAATGCATCTATCAATTCTAGATTCTCTTTATGTCTAGCCCATGCTGCGCACCAACGCCCAACACGCCTAAAGAGCAAGCACTGGAGATTCACAGGCTTTTACGCACCGGTCACTTCTGAGTTCTTAGCCCGAGCTTCGGCTCAAAAGGAAGATAGATGAATCCTTGTTTCTTGTCTAGCTGCTGGTTTGTGTATGGGAGCCTACATGTTTGCTTTTACTTGAGTTGATTGCTATTCGGACTCTCATCTCCGCTTAAGATTGTTCTGGCTAGGATGAGCAATGATGGCTCTCAGTGCTCTCACAATTTGTCAAATGGAGAAGGCTGTTCCGCGGGAACTCTATCACCGGCATTTTTGCGGGCGTCATCCCATTGTGTGTGTGTGTGTGTGTGTTTGTGTTTGTGATACGCTGCCTTTGTTTGGGTGTGGTATTCTCATCGCTACTTGCAAGCCAGAGGAAGCCTTGTGTGCACTATTTGCTTGTTCAACTGGGCGTGTCTCAAAATAGGAACCCCAACCTGGTGTGTTTTTCTTTGGTTTTTCTGTGACACCAGCCCCAAAGTGGTACCCTCAAAGCAAGCATCCAACTTGAGATTGGCCGATGGACAGTGCTTGAACGCGCCTCAAACAACGCTTTTCTGATAGCACCTTGGCAGTCTTGCCTCACATTTTTGTTTCATGTCCATGGCCGAGGCTCTCTCCGGCACTCATTGCTGTTGCGCCAACACGGTGCAGAATTCAATGCATGCTGCAAAGGCTCGGCCAAGGGGCCAAGCGGAAAGCAAGTCTTAGCGAGAAGCTGGGGCTTATGCTTTTTGCAAGTGTTCTTGGATACCTGACGTGGTTTATGGGCCAAGCTTTCTCGCATCACTCTCCAATTTGAAGAGTCCACGTACCATTTGTATTTGCGCCAGGAGCCATGGTGCTGCACTGCCGAAAGCGTGACTGGAGGAGTGGAATGGCATGCAGGCATTTTCAATCATGGGACATATGGGTTACTGGCATGTCTTTTCTGACAGTACTCATTTCAAGGTTCGTGCACAGAACCACCCACTTTGGTTTAGTTACCACCTGCCCAAAGTTCGACATCGCTTTGTTATCCATGGAAGGGATTCTGGGCTGGAGCTTTCATCCTGGGGGCCTTGGGTGCCACCTCCAAGACGGGTCCTATGTCCTTTTTTTGGGGTGGTTGACACATCTCTTTTTGGCCAACTGAACGTGAGGAGCTCTTTTTGGGGCGATGTTTTTAAGGGGATGTAAGAGATCTCGTCCAAAGCATGAAAGGTGCTGAATTCGTGTGTGCTTGATGGCCGCTCCAGGCCGGAGGTGCTGCAGGATCTTGCTCTCTGAGGCCTGGAAAGCAGCGCATTGAGCTGCGACTAAAGAGAAACAATGAGCCGACGCAATGTATTTTGACCGGGATGTGAAAAGTCAACTTAATGGCTTGGCATTGAGTTCATTTCGATTTCACTGAGTTGTGAGTTGGTTTTGGAAAGTTGCCACTCCCACGCTGCATTTCGCCTTCGGCGGCCAGAGGCCTGCCTGTGGGCGGGTTAACGGGCTTCCCGACGCGTTAGCGCGCGCGTGCCTCGACCATGGCGATGGCTTGGGTTTCGCTCGGAGCGCTGGCGGTTGCCTGGGGCTACGACAACGGCAGCCCCTTCTCACGGCGGCCGCCGCTGGGTTGGTCCAGCTGGGTGGCGTTGGGCCCTGCCTGGCCGGGCCCGGAGGCACAACCCCCCATCTTCGACTTCTGCGACGAGACCAGCGTGAAACTGGCGATTGATGCCTTCCATGAGGCACGGCATTGAGATCTCAATCGTGTGTGTTGTCGGGTATGAGCTGGAATTGTTCTGCCAGGTGGGCTTGTACGATGCCGGCTATCGGCACTTCCACCTGGATGACTGCTGGGCAGACAGAGAGCGGAACGCCTCTGGCTACTTGCAGGCCGATAGGAGTCACTTTCCCAACGGCATGAAGGTCATTGTGGACTACGCTCACGCCAAAAACTTGACTTTCGGTCTCTACACTTGCGCTGGCACCTACACTTGCGTGGGCAAACGCCCGGGGTCCAAGGACCACTTCGCCCAGGATGCCGCGGTCTTTGCGGAGTTGGAGGTGGATGTGGTGAAGATGGACTGGTGCTTCACCGATGGCATGGAGCCTGAGGCGACCTACACCGAGTTCTCGCGGCTTTTGAATGCGACTGGGCGGCACATCCACTTCAACATGTGCGAGTGGGGCAAGAAGGCTCCCTGGACCTGGGGCCCAAAGGTGGCTCAATCCTGGCGAGCCACACCAGACCACACGCCCAT